ACCTGCTTGAGAAGCTGGTGCCTGGAGCCGGCCCTGTTGAGATGGGGCAGTACTGACGGTGTGGGTGTACCATGGATTTATATAGAGGCAATATGATATTTTCTGTTTTATTATCTAACCTTTTCCTAATGATTCCCAAGATTCTGTTCGCTTTTTTGACTGCTGCTGCACATTGAGTGGATTTTTTCAGATAACTATTAACAATGACTCCAAGATCGCTTTCTTGAATGGTAACAGCTAATTTAGAACCCATCATTTTATATGTATAGCTGGGATTATGTTTTCCAATGTGCATTACTTTGCATTTATCAACATTGAATTTCATCTGCCATTTTCTTGCCCAGACACCCAGTTTTGTGAGATCCCTTTGTAACTCTTCACAGTCAGCACTGGACGTAACTATCCTAAGTAGTTTTGTATCATCTGCAAATTTTGCCACCTCACTGTTTACCCCTTTTTCCAGATCATTTATGAATACATTGAACAGAACTGGTCCCAGTACAGACCCTGGGGGACACAACTATTTACATCTCTCCATTCTGAAAACTGACCATTTATTCCTACCCTTTGTTTCCTATCTTTTAACCAGTTACCAATCCATGAGAGAACTTTCCCTGTTATCCCATGACCGCTTACTTTGCTTAAGAACCTTTGGTGAGGGATCTTATCAAAGGCTTTTTGAAAATCTAAGTACACTATATCCACTGGATCACTCTTGTCCACATGCTTGTTGACCCCCTCAAAGTAGTCTAGTAGACTAGTGAGGCATGATTTCCCTTTACGAATACCATGTTGAACTCTTCCCCAACAAATCATGTTCATAGAATCATAGAAGGTTAGGGTTGGAAGAGACCTCAGGAGGTATCTACTTCAACCCCTTGCTCAAAACAGGACCAACCCCAACTAAATCATCCAAGCCAGGGCTTTATGAAGCCGGGCCTTAAAAACCTCCCTAGGGAGCACATTCCAGTGCTTCACCACCCTCCTAGTGAAATAGTGTTTCCTAATATCCAACCTAGACCTCCCCCACTGCAACTTGAGACCATTGCTCCTTGTTCTGTCATCTGTCACCACTGAGAACAGCCGAGGTCCATCCTCTTTGGAACCCCGCTTCAGGTAGTTGAAGGCTGCTATCAAATCCCCCCTCATTCTTCTCTTCTGCAGACTAAATAAGCCCAGTTCCCTCAGCCAATCCTCATACGTCATGTGCCCCAGTCCCCTAATCATTTTCGTTGCCCTCCGCTGGACTCTCTCCAATTTGTCCACATCCCTTCTGTAGTGGGGGGCCCAAAACCGGATGTAATACTCCAGATGTGGCCTCATCAGTGATGAATAGAGGGGAATAATCACTTCCCTCGATCTGCTGGCAATACTCCTACTAATGAAGGCCAATGTGCCATTAGCCCTCTTGGCAACAAAGGCACACTGCTGACTCATATCCAGCTTCTCGTCCACTGTGAAGAATTCATTTAGTTTCTCCGCAATGGCCTTGTCTTCCTGGAGTGCTCCTTTAGCACCTCGATTGTCCAATGGCCCCACTGGTTGTTTAGCAGGCCTCCTGCTTCTGATGTACTTTAAAAAATTTTTGCAATTATGTTTTGAGTCTTTGGCTAGCTGCTCTTCAAATTCTTTTTTGGCCTTCCTAATGATATTTTACACTTTATTTGCCAGAGTTTTTGCTCCTTTCTATTTTCTTCGCTAGGATTTAACTTCCACTTTTTAAAGGACGCCTTTTTGCCTCTCACTGCTTCTTTTACTTTCTTCTTTAGCCACAGTGGCACTTTTTTGATTCTCTTACTATGAGTTTGGTGGGAGAGCACCTGTTTTCCCCAGCTCGTGAGTCGCTAGCAGAAATAGGCCCCACCCTGAAGCCTGCATTTAGGCACCAAACTCTGTGAGGGAAGCGGGGCTTTGCACACACCTCTCTGGTTGGCATCTCCCATTGGCTTGCTGAGGCAGCGCCCGCCTAGCGTGCGGCCTTCTATGGATGGCCCCCCCCCCGGCGCCTGTCTCTCCCTATTTGTCGTGTAGGACCCTGGGCGCCTCGCTTGGGCTGTGGGAATTGCAGGGCATTCCTAGGGTTTCCGAGGCCCCTGGAAGTGAGGCGTGGTGACACTGAGCACTGCAGTGCCAACTCCCTTTGAGGATCCAGGCCTAGATACTCATGGCTGGGGCCCAGCTCCTGGACGCTTGGGACTGTGCCAGAGTCTCAGCTTCCATAAAAAAGTACGTTCCCAGGCCTCCGGGGGCTGTGAAGTGACTCACGTGTAAGGGATGCAGCAGCATCTGCCTG